AGATAGATAGATAGATAGATAGATAGATAGATAGATAGACATGTTGAATAATGAAATTTGATTGTTTTAGATTGTTTTATTCTTCATATGACAGCCTACTGTATTTTCATACCAGTTTCAGTTTTTGACATATGCATATAAGGCCTACTCATCAAAACACACAAAATATTATCACCTTTAAGCAAGACGTTTGCACCCTCCGGCTGATAAATAAAACAGACAGATGGCAGCAACACACATGCTTTCACTCAGATATAATAGTAAAGTGTGGATGTGTTGGGTTGAATAACTGAACAGATGAATCATCCAATCAGTAACTGATATCCAACAAGGATAAGTTTTAAAATTCAAAGTTAATATTTTTCTATGAGGTTTGACTGCTGTATTTTCTTATTTAAAATTAGTTTAATTCAGCTGTGAGGATGGAGAGAAAGAGAGGAAAATAGAATAAAGTCTGACAGACGAAGGTGACAGGTTGGTCTAATATCAGGTTAGAGTTTAACAGCTACTTAAATACCAAGTTATCTATTTTTTATCTATTCATATAGAAAAGGTGTGTTTTCTACTATGTTAGAAGAACACAGGCAAAGGCTGATGCAGACATGAGGTTGGTTGTGGCATCTGCTAAAAAGGAGACAGTCAGAATGGTTTGTATTTCAGCTAATCACTCATTTTGTGTTTCCTTCTGGGAAAATTATTGCACGTATGGAAAGTTGATCCCAAAAGAGGAAAAAATGGGGCGGCAGATCAAAGAGGGGGACAGGTAGTGGGTGTGAACAGAAATTATATAAGTCCTGAATTTTATTACCGGTAGTTGAATTAGTGAATTTAATTGGGGAAGTTTTCCACATTTATGTAAACATGTGTCTGCAATTAATTTGTGTAGAAAGTATGCTCAGTGTGCCCTGTCATCTTCCATGTGCCTCCCACGTGTCTCAGCCTCCCTCTGCTGTCTCCTTCCTCCTCCTCTTCCTCCTCCCTTTAAATATCTGAGCCCAGAGGAGGCACAGCAGGACCCAGCTACTGTTTGACACTGGGTCACTGGAAAGTGCGCACATAGAGAGGATGAGGACTCTGCTTTTGCTGCTGCCGCTGCTGCTCTGTCCCCCCGCCGGGGGGGCTCAGCGGCCCCCCGAGGCTGTCAGAGAGTACTTCATAGCAGCAGTGGAGATTGGTTGGGACTACATCCACCTGGCAGATGGGGACCGTGCACCGGGTCAAAGGTAAACATGTCCCACTTCAACTCAGACCTTGATGCTTTATTAAACTTGCTGTCAGTCTCATAAACAGAGTTAGCCTTTAGAAATATGTTTTTTCTGCTACTTTCTGATCATATTTTTTTCAGAGGGGGATTTAAAGCCGTTACTCAAAAATACATCAAGGCAGTCTACAGGGAGTACACAAATGCTACATTCAGTATCCCCAGACCGAGACCAGCCTGGACAGGTAGGTGCATATATAATTTCATTTTTTTCTAGATCATATTCTCATATTTAATTCATATTTGCTTAATGGTTGTATTGTATTTGTCAGCCACATTGTAAATAAATAAATGAAGAAACAGGCAATTAATAGATGAGAGAGTGAATAATATGGGGGCAGCTGTAGGACAATTATCCTCAGGTGTACAGCAGGTGTAGCCAGCGCTGCAGGTCCGTCTCTGCTGCGCTGTAAACACGCAGCCCGTGTGAACGCTCAGGCTCCGGAAAGAGATGAACGGACAGCAGAACTCCACCTGGTTCTATTTTTGCCTGAGCCAGGCTGATTAAACAGAAGTCATGTCGCTCTACACTCTAGAAAATTCTGCTCCAACTTAAATGAGTTGTTTCAATTAGTAATAAGTAATAGAAGTAAGTTTTCCCGAATTAATGTATTTAAGTTTTCAACTTATAAACCTAATAAGTCAAGATAAGTTAAGATTCAATCACCGATTGGAGCAATTCATTTAAGTTGGAGTAGTATTTTCTTTTTAATGTGAGATATAACTAAACATCCACAGCATTAAGAACTGGCTATATTGATAAATTTACTATTTGCAATTACACAAATTAGATTAATTACTGGCCTGTATTAAAATAGGTAACCACTCTATTAGGATGGAACATTAAATGTGACAATTCATGAAATGATTACAGCTTCTCTCTGCGCAGTGTAAATTAGAGGTCATATCAGTGGTCTGATATGTCGATATAAGGACAGTTTAAACAAAGAAATATATATCTACAATATAGGTATTAAAAAAAAGTTATAGGTCTGTTGTTAAGGGGGGTTCAGAAAAAGTCATGTCAAAGAGACAAAAAAAAGCTTTTTAATATAGAACAGTTTAAATCAATGCATTACAATTGTACTTCAGGTATAAAAAGTCATTCCATAATAAAAAAAAAAGTATTTAAAGTAAACATAAGTCAATAAAATAATTGTTTCATCCATTCCGAGACGTGGCCCAGTCCCCCACCCTCCCCCTCCCCCATAGGCACATTTACAAAGAAATAATATTGCAAACTTGAATCAGTTTGAAAATTATAAAAAAAATAAAAAATCCATCACATGTTTAAGGAATTTTTTCATTGCAGGTATTCAGGGCCCGGTGATCGTGGCCCAGGCTGGTGAAAGAGTGGTGGTCCACTTCAAGAACCTGGCATCTCAGCCTTACAGCATCAGCCCTGTGGGAATCACCTACTGGAAGCAGTCTGAAGGTGAGCAACTAAAGGCTGTGATGCCCTCAGCAGTTTTTCCCAAGTGTTTTTTGACAACACACTGCTACACAGGTCAAGCATTATTGAGCAGCATTCCTCTCTCCCTGCTCAAATAATGAGCAACAGCTTGACTCAGATCATTGACTCATGGTAGGTCTAATTCAACTGTGCTGCTGTTCAGATGAGAAAATGGAAAAAAGTAGCTAAAAATAGCTGCAAGCTGGGGTCCGCTTTTCCTGTGAGTTAATACTTGTATGTAGGATTACTTTATATTCTGAGTCACTGTAGAGCAACTGAAAAACGTTATTTTACAGTAATTTTTAGGAGTCAATGAAAAATTACCTTTAATGAGCAGAAATCTGCAGCGAAGCCTCCAATTCTTAAGAAATAACAGAGAACAACGGTCGCCATTATCTGATGTGTGCAGATCCTTTGTGGGTTCGGGGCCAAACTGCTCATCGCTCTGGCTCTTCTGAGAATCTTGCACCCACATGTGGCGTGTCATGGTTAATCCCATTTACAGGTGGTCCTGGATTAGGTTTTTATGCTGCTAAACGCCACAAACCGTCACTTGTTTCAAGCAGCTTGCAGGTTGAATCCAATTTTGATTTTATGTTACAAAGGAGTGAATCGGTTAATGTTGGGGAGCGGGCAGGGTTAGATGATTATGGATTGTAAAGTATGAAGATGAAGGAAGAATACTGTCTCTTCGGATCTTTTTTTAATATCAAATCATCTGATTAATGTCTTTGCTGAGTCATCGATTTGAAAATGACTTTAATTTCTCCCTCCCATTTCTACTCCCACTTTCTCTTTATATTAAGCATTCACCAACCACTTGAACAAACAGAAAACAGATGGTATGTCCTCTTTTTTCCAGGAGCTGGTTATGATGACTCCACAGCAGGCCAGGAGAAGGAGGATGATGCAGTCCCACCCGGTGGATATTATAAGTATATCTGGGACATCAGCCCCAATGATGGCCCGACCATCAGTGACCCCGACTGCCTCACATACTCCTACTCCTCCCAAGTGGACACGGTCCGTGACATGAATTCTGGACTCATCGGTGCCCTTCTCATCTGCAAACCGAGTCAGTGAGCTGCTGCTAAACACCATTGAACACTCCTCATACCTCAAACCTGCAAATTTAAACAGAGCCAATTTGAATAAAGCTTATACATGCATGTTTTATTTTTATATTATTTACTCATAACCAGATAATTTTTTTAACATTCAATGCTTCTCCAGGTGCATTTACAGAGGACGGCCAGAGGAAATTCCAAGCATTTGTCCTTCTGTTTGCTGTATTTGATGAGACCAAAAGCTGGTATGGAGAAGTCGGGGAGAGGATGAGCAGGGAGAAGTTTAGAAGAAGCGATGGCAGGAAGGAATATCACACCATCAATGGATATGTCAACTCCACTTTATCTGGTGAACAGATGGGTTTTTGGTCAGGGTTGTTCTTAATACCTTCTGCACAGGAATTTGGCTTCATTTTTCTATTTTTGCTGCTAATTCTCCATACTCAGGTTTAACAGTGTGTCAAGGCTACGATCCAGTGTTTTGGCATATGATTGGGTTAGGCACTACGCCCGAGATCCACTCCATCCGCTTCCAGGATCACACGCTGCAGGTTAGCAAGGACTTCACCACAGGAATTTTTAGCACTCTTCCATTGGGAAGAGTCTAGAAAAGAGCTGCTCAGCATGAATCCTAAAATAATAGATTCTAATTCCCAAATCATGAAATTGTTGTTTTGTGAAGTGTAATAAATTTGACCCTCTGGTGTTCGCTTATATCCAGGTGCTAAACCATCGTAAAGTCACAGTGGAAGTGACTCCAATGACTTTTGTCACTGCAGAAATGAGACCTGCAACTATAGGCCGGTTCCTCATCAGCTGTGAGATCCATGCGCATCGCTATGGTAACAAAGAAAGATATATACATATTAGATACAACTGCTCAACTAGCATTAACCAATATCCATCTCACAGATGGCATGAATGCGCTGTTCACGGTGGAGAAATGCCCTGATCCCGTCCCCAAGGATCTGCGACATGTCAAAACAGATGATGATTACGACGGAGGTGATGAAGAAGACGGGTTTAGTTACGCAATTCAGTTTCTACCTAAGGGACCAGAATTGCAGGCCAGATCTGGCGGAGGACAGCAGTCCCGCATATGGAGGCATTTTATTGCTGCTGAGGAAGTCACCTGGAACTATGCTCCTCACCTGAATCCCACAGACAGGTGAGGAAAATTTAGAAACAGCCAGGAAAATACGAAAAATAAAGGGTAACTAACTAACTGATTCCCTTACATTTCTTTTTATCAGTGAGTTGCAGTCCAGAAATTTGCCTCCATCTCCACACCACCTTGGATACACATATAAAAAGGTTATGTTTGTGGAATACACTGATGAATTCTTTACTGAGAAGAAAAATCCCTCTGAGTCACTGCTGGGTCCCATTTTGAAAGGAAAGGTCGACGATAAAATCTATGTGAGTAACTAAAATGTCTGACCAGCTGCTGGATTTGGGATTTTCTGTTTATCTGCTTCTTCTTGATTATTTTCCAGATTATTTTCAAAAACTTAGCCAGTCGCCCGTTCAATATCTACCCCAATGGTCTTACCAAGGTCCTTCCATTCAACGTTAATGGTAAGCATAAACGCATATGGGGTTTATATAAAGAGGGGAAAAGGTTTCTTCATCCTGTGTTTGTCAATTCAATTCTGATGCCAGCTATGTTGGAACAGGAAGAGGTGTAATTCTGCTGCAATCACAGAGTGGCACCTCACCGTGGAGACATATCAAAATTTATTAAATTTTTCTTTGGAATCAATAATGCATTTCTGAATTGAATTATATTGAACATGGCTGTATTTGCAAAGGTATTGATACTCTTGCACCTTTTCAAATAATTCCACACACTTGCATTTGTATAAGGCGGTCCTCAAAGTCAAAACTCTATAGAACCGCCTTCCTGGGTATGTCTACCTCCAGCTGCTAGATTTAGCACATCTAGTTGCTGACATTATTACCAATCTTTTAATTGCATAGTAAGATTGCATAGAAGTAAAAAGTCTGCCATAGATTCACCCTAAAATGGGGGTCTCAATGTGCTTTAATCTTGACCGGCTCTAATCCATGTCGCCTCAACCTGCAGCTCCAGAGCTACAGGTTTCAGCCTTTGGTCCTTGGACAATGGCTCCTAATAGTGACTAAAATAATAAAGATCCAACATTATTAACCAACTTTATCAATACTGTTCTCTTATGTGGGGTAGTGTTGGCCTAGTGCTTAGAGCAATGCGCTTGTGCCCTGAGAAGGTTGCAAGTACCGGGTTCAATTCTCACAGCCTGCACTCTGGGTTTCTGAGCAAGACCCTTAACTCAACATTGCTCCCCGGGCTCCACACAATGGCAGCCCACTGCAATTTTTTATGTTGTTTTTAGAACTTTTTTTTTTTTTCGTTATATTGAAAAGTTTATTTTTTCAAAATTGTTTTCCACAAACATCGACATCCTATAGGAGAAAATCTGCCCATCTTATGTTTTTCTTAATTTCAAAACCAAAAAATACAAATAAATGGCAACAGATTTCCTATAGTGTATATTTAAATAGTTTAATCACTTTTGTTTTATAAAAAGGTTGCAGGCTGGGCGATATGGACTTTCAATCTGATAACAATAAAAATGAGGATAAAAAAAATGATCATAACTTCTTTAAGGTCTTTCTCAGGTAAATGTATGGTTGTCACTAATCGTCCCACAGTGAACGTATTTAATCATACTCTTCCAATTTGTCAATGCCCCAATGGAAAACAACAAAAAAACAAAAAATAAAATTTCCACTTTTTTTAAACATCATTGATTCCAATTTATCATTTAGACAATAAATCAAAATTCTTATCATTACAAAATGTATCATGATAACGATATAATAAATGCCCTCCCCTACTGCACACTGAATTATAAAAAGCTTGTTCAATTAAACCAATTTTGCTTAAACTGCAAACACAGCTTTCAGATAATAAAAAAAAACTGTAAGAGAATCTATAACTATACTAGTACCGTATAAACCCCCAGAGATCGCTTTTATCAGTTTTTTACACCAACTCCATCACAATCTGCTCAAATCTCTTCAATCAGCTGCTGTGCATGACCTGCGCACATTGGGAATTCCTCCCAACAAGACATTTGTCTACATCTGGAAGATTACCTCTGATGACGGACCCTTGGAAGGAGACCCCCAGTGTCTGACTCAGCTGTATCAAAGCACCATCTCCCCAGAGCAGGACCTGGCCTCTGGGTTGGTGGGTACCCTGCTCATCTGCAAGACCAACGCCATCGGCACCAGAGGAAATCTGGTGAGATAACTCATTAAGCTTCAGGCCTATTGGATCCCTAATATGCACTCTTGGATATAACCTTGTTTATGCTTGCTCTATACTTGCAGCAAAGTGGAGACAAGAAGCAGAGTCTGATATTTACTGTGTTTGATGAGAACAGAAGTTGGTACTTTAAGGAAAACATGCAGAGGTCAATTCTAAGCTCCTACAACACCAGCGACCCAGAGTTCTACAAGTCCAACGTCATCTATAGTGAGTACACTACGCTTCCATTTGTATTTTTATTTTATATTTTCATCATAAGAAAACAAATATGTGATGTGGATGACTCTCGTCCTTCAGGTATAAACGGCATCATGTTTAGCAAGCGTCAGTTTGTCATGTGTCAGACGGATGTCTCCCTCTGGCATGTGGCCAACGTGGGAACCAGGAGCGAATTCCTCTCCGTATATTTTACGGGAAACCTGTTTCAGTACCAAGGCCTCTACCAGTCTGTCCTTACCCTCTTCCCCATGACGGCTGTTACTATTCCCATGGAGACAGAGGTGATCGGTGAGGACAAACGCTCACATTTACACCCAGCTTTTAGCACCGTAGCTCATTGTTTTAAGGTTCAGAGCTGAAACTTCAAGTAATTATGGACTGATTTAATCATTGTGATAGGTAAGTGGACAGAGACACTAGTTTGGTTAGAAATGTATTGGAAATGCCCTGCAAAAAAGGAGTGTCAAAAATCAAGAAAAAGAAATCTAGGGGAAAGGCTGCTCAAATAAAATTAAATTATCTGACGATGCAGCAAGATAATTTTAGTTTGCGAGATTTGATTTAAGATTTTTAGTTTTAAAAGTAAGTATAGGCAACACTTAAAATTAGCAATGATGTCTTAAAACAAGATAAAATATCTAACTTCTGAATAAAGTTTTTTTTATCTTTGTAAGAACCAGATAATTTGCAGTTTGGATTTAAACTGTTGCTGTACATCTCAAGTCCATTCACATGCTGTCCAGCTCCAACACAAGGCTTCTAATTATAGGACGTGTTAAACAACATGATTTAGATGGCAAGGGATCAGTTTACACAGCAGTTTCTACTACTTCCTTTTTTCCACATTTGGTTCATGTATGGCAACAAACCTGAATGTAGTTGAAGGCCCCTATCACACCTTGCCGGTTTAGCCAGGGTATGTCTAAAAGTCCCAGAATCTTCTAAAAAGCTAGCATACGCTGAGCTTTCTATGTATTTTTTCAATTTTGGGCATATACAGAGCGTATTCATGAGTCCAGTACTTATGTCCAAAAACAGCCTAACTTATGCATAAGGCACGGCAGCGTAATGCCCATGAAACGATACACAAGCATTATTTCACGCACATTACGAAGCATCAGTTAAAGCCGCTCTCCTGAGGCGCCCGGTCTGCATAAAAAGACCGGGGTATTAACCCAGCTGTTGTTTACTGCCCGCCCCCTAATTAAATGAATGAATAAAAAGAAAAAAGAAAGAAAGAAAGAGGGTTTGCAGTGGCAGCAAATTCAACATCGTGTCTGTTAAAAAGTTTGTAGGTCGTCGAGATGAACGCAGGGAGGATCCATCACACTTACCTTCAGGCTCATCCTATGATGAAGTCTGGAGGAGTACAGATGGTTTTCTCGTGTGAACCCCCTTTTATACCAAAACACTGCAAATACGCCATTATACAGCAGCTGTAAGTCAGAAAAACACGTTCAGCGGTCGTCTGAAACACATCAAATACGTTGATATGCATTGGATATAAGTTCTTTGATAAGTTACGCATAAGTTATGCACACGTTACTCATAGATTTTGGATAAGTTAGACACCACGACTTATTAGTAACTTAAACTTAACATATGTGAACGATCAGATTGTAAAGATTGTTGTTAAAGATTGTTTGCTATGGAAACCAAAATAGTTATAATATACGCAGGCCACAGATAGTGATCATTTTTCTTCAATGTAACCCCAATAGATTTCAATACAACAAGCAGTTTGCAATCATGGATTTTTGTAGAAAATGGATATAAGTGGCCCCAGACAATGTGAAAAGGTGCATGGCAGTAAACCTTAACTTCCTTTTTGCAGGTGAGTGGGAGATAAGTGCCTTTGACAGCAACCTCAGGAGCCGGGGAATGAGCATCCGTTACACCGTCCGTCCCTGCAACGATGCAACGTATTCTCTGGTCGACAATGACTTGACTTATGAAGACATCTCTGAGTATGTGGACAGGATAGATCAGCCAAGGGGCTTGAGACCTGAAAATGGCACAATGTTGGTTCGGGAATGCAGGAAATCTGCCGTCAACAACACCAGTGACCAAAATGTGACTTTGGTCAGAGATAAGGAGGTCCTTTGTAAACTAAGGAGAGTGCCAGTGGCGTCGGTGAAAAGAGAACAAGTTTCTACAGACGAAGGGATCCCAGAAGATATCCTGACGAAAGTAGAGAGAGACGGGAGTTGGAAAGCTCCTGAAAATCAGACCCAAGCAGAAGACAACAGAGGTGGGAGGCAGAAACGAGAGGCAGGTGGGAACTGGACACAAAACAACGACATCTCTCTAGACGCCAAAGCATCAACGGGAGAAAAGATCCCACCTGGAAACACAATCTCTCCAAAGGAGGACATGAGTGAAAACTACATCTATTCTGATTCTGAGAGTCTTTTAGATGATATGTTGGACGTTGACTACAACTTAACTGATGGCAACACAACAGAGGTCAATCTATCCTTAGACTATGATGACTACAACAACTACAACAGTGAGGTATGGGTTTCTAGTATTTGTTTTATTCAGGAGGATTGGCAAACATCTAAAGACCTGCTACAGTGCTGTAAATGCTTTAAACTGTTTATACAGGGGAATGCTTCGTCAGAAACATTTGGCACAGAGTTATTCGGCCCCCGCTCTGGAGAAACAAGACCCCGTCACTACTACATCGCTGCAGAGGAAATCACCTGGGATTATGGCATTAAAACACCATACCAGCTCATTAAGCCTAGGTGGGAATGAACTTGTTGTTTACAAGCTTTAAGAATCAAATTCCATTCTTAGCATTGTGTAGTTTTCTTTTTCTTTATAGTAATTTAACATTTTAAAATAATGACTCCCATTTTGAATATTGGGTTATCTTCCTTTGGATATTTTATGCCAGCTGGTCATCATTTTGGAAAATGAAAAATACGTGCTCACCTGCCTTTACACCCATTTGAACTTAAGTAACATCCCTTTCTTTGCCCATTGGGTTAAGTTGATGCTGAGCAACCTCAACATCTTGCTCTTTCAGGAAGATTTCCAAATGTTTAGTTTTAAGCCATTTGCCCAACAGTGCATCTGCTGGTTAAACCCTTTTTTAGACCATAAAGCCTGCCTCATGCTGCTCTCTCTCTAACCGCTCTCTTACCAATGTGGGGCACTAAGAAGTCTGATGATTTTTGGCATCCTATCACTTTAACATGCCAGACTTTAATGAGCTTCTGAGAACATCATATTCTAACAAATGTCTTTAGAACCAGTCTGACCTTTGTTGATGCAAGAAAATAGGAGACTGAATTTATTGGTTGGGATCAATGAGCTCCGACATGAACAATATAGCAGATGTTTACGATTAAATGTTTGCTCCTTCTATTCTCTTTCACTGAATTGTAGGATTTTTCTTTGTGACTATCAATTTTTAGCAGTCCATCCATCTAAAGGGGAACAGTAACAAATATTTATTTATATTTTGTGATTAATTTGCATTTGCATATGATGCCTGAACCCCTACACCAGATTTATTTAAAGCTACAACCAAAATTCCCTGACTATTATCACCTAATCTGTAAAATAATCCCATTGTAAATGCAGCTGCTCTCCAAAGAGCTCAGAGGTTTTTTAGCGATAGATCTTTTTGCAGGTGGATCATCAAAATAAGTGGTATTTGTCAATCATTTTGGTGATATGTTTACGTGAGGCTGCCCTACATGCTTGTCCCCATTTTCACTTACCAGTAGTGAGTTTGACAAAGTCGAAAAATTGCAAAACTTTATTTTTTTTTTTTTGAAAGTAAGCTTGTATGAGCGATGCTAACAGCTTCTTTTAAACAGAGCGTGCACATGCGTCTAATGGGCATTCCCTCTCATGCAGCGGGTACAGGGTTGTGCATGTGCTTTTTTTGTTTAAGGTGGAGAGGGCGTAGGTTTTAAACAAATATCCACAAAAATTCTTGGTTATACCTTTAATTAATGGCCATTCTCAAAAAGAAAGGAAAGTAGAGTTTACAGATTCCCATAAGCAATGTACAGTATGGGCCTCAGCTGACCTGGAAGAAGGTGCTCTAATAAGAAGAGACTGTACCTGAACCCAGGCTCGGACTGAGAACGATTTTTGACCCTGGCATTTTTCCGTGTACACCTGCCCACTTATGGAACCCGAGCCTCCCTGAACGTACTGTTACCTCAGGAAAGCAAGTGTAGGTTTTCACAACCTGTTGGAAGTTGGATGATTACAGCAAGAGTCCAGACCGTCACAGAGGTTGACTGCCAGCAGACAAAACAATGACCTATTCTAAGTGACTCTTTGGAACTTCCACAACCTCCCTTAACAATAATAATAATTAATAATTATGATTAAAAAAGACACATAACAAATTAGTTTTTATGTACAGATACGTATGTTTAGTTTTCTTGTCATTAGGGTTTTGTGCCAAATATTTCACATCCAAAAGCACCCATTTAAAAAAATGGATATTCATCAAAATGAAAGTTTTAGATAAAAAAAAAAATCAGAAAAGGTTGTGTAACATTTTAAGCTCTACATAGGTCTTTTTTTTACCTGGACGAAGTGCAACAATAGCTCTTTGGGTTGTTAAAGTTGTAGACCGCTGGTTTAGAGCAAAGCACATTCATGTGCTAAAATTGCGTAGTGAAAGCACAGAAAAGTATCCTGTTAGGAACCCATTGCATTACTTAGAAAAATGCTGCTCACATTGCTAACGCTAAACACCATCTGACCAAGCTTTGGATATTTTGCAAAGAT